TAACAAGTCAAATAAAAATTTATTTTACTTTCACACCGGCACACATCAACAAAAAACATCACACTATCAAACTATTAAAAAATCAGTGATCCAATGACTAAAAGAATCAATTCAAAAGTTTAGTGTTATAATTAAAACTTTCTTATAATTTAATGACTAAAATTAGACAATACTCAACGTTCAGTGACAAATGGTGTAGTTTACCCAACCAATATTTATTTAGGTTGATGTAGGCCCAAAGTTTACCCAATCCACAATTGCCAATTGGAGCCTAAACCCACCGGAAGAGTGGACGTAGGCCCGTTAAATGCTCTAACCCAGGGATTTTGTATTTCATTTTTGGGTCAAATTCTATGATTAGTATATTACTTTGATCAAATTGTGTAGTTAGGGTAAGCGTTCTATTGAATTGAGTCGAGTAATTTTTTTTTGAGATTTCTAAGTTGATGAGTCTTATTTTTTTTAACTCAAACTTGATTTTAATTTTTTTTGAGTCGAGTTATTCGAGTTAATGTTTTAATTTAATTATAAATATTTATAATATTATTCAATTCCAAATTAAATGATTTTATATAACCATATACAATACATATATATTTCTTGATATATGATGTACATATATCATACATAGTCGAAAGACTCAACTCAAACTTGGAAACCAATCCATTAATTTCTAAAAATTTTGAGTTGTATTTTATAACTCAACTCGAATTTTAAATTTTTTCGAGTCGAGCCCAGTTTATGAAATTATAACTCGAAGTCAATTCGTGTTGAGTTGAAAATATCGATTTTTCGAGTCGAGTTTTACTCACCCCTATGTGCAAGTTTAGTTATCAATTTAAATTTTAAAAAAACTTAATTACCAACTTCACAAATATTAGTACCAAATATTCTATTAAACTTATCTAAAACTACCAATCTTCTTCTCCCTTCCTTTCCTTCCTAAAAGGACCAAATAATGATTTTTTTCAATACAAACCAATAAAAACACCTTAACTTAGAGTGATATAGTCATTCATGGCTCTACTTTTTGCTTAAGGTCTCTACTTTTTGGCAAGTGAGTGCGAAAACAATGAGTAGCCGGACTTGGAGAAGATTATCTAAGGTGAGTGTTACTGCCATGCAGTTGGATTTCCTTGATCCTGGGCTCACTATTTCAAATATATGAGATGATGTTAGACAGAGAAGGGCCAAGGTGGAATGACATAAATTGGTTTGGCATCAGTTTCTCATTATGAAGCATTCGATCATCTCTTGGATGACAATTTTAAATAGATTGCCTACAAAAGACAATGTTGCTTTCTTTTAGAATTAATGTGGGTGCTAGTTGTGTTCTTTGTGGTAGTGAGCTTGAGTCTAGGGATCACATTCTTTTTGGCTGCTCTTTTTCCAAGACAGTTTGATCGAGTTATTTACTTGGTTGTATAGGTTGTGATTTGGTTGTACGAGCTCTTCTGTTATTCTGAATAAATAAGATTCATATTTATCCAAAAAGATATAGTCATTCATGAAAATTACCAAAAAGGGAGCTTTGTTTTTTCACATGCCAAAAGTCACTCAAGTATACATAGTTGGATGATTACTAAAAGATAATAATTTAAAAACAAACCCCCGAAAGTTTAAAGAGTATGACAGCTGAGGGATCTATTTATTTATTTACTTGCTGTTGAACTTGGACCCCGAAGACACTGTCATTACATTGACTACCATAATTAATCACATAATTATCAGGATGAAATCTGCCTTCGAGTGGTAATTCTGTTGATTTCAAGAGGATTTGCCTCATCATTATCATATCTATTTGTATACTTTGATCAATACGTTTGTAAATTTCCCTTCTTTGGGTCACGTTAGAGTTTATTTTCTGCTATTTGGTGATTTTAAGAAATGATTGTAAATTTTTCGTTAAAGTAGATTAATCATAATTATATTGGCCTGTATCTTGAAAAATATAAAATATACAAATAAACATAACTAACAAAAAGATGAATACAACAAACATAAATAAAATATTTATTCATTTATCGCAACTCAAACTCAATCTGTTTGAGATGATAATCAGAACCTATCAAATTAATATAAGAGAATCAACTCGATGATCCAAACCGGGATGACCATGTGATCAGAACCCTACCTATAAATTCGTTATGCGGACCAAGAAATCTCCCCCTTGTAACCTGTACAAAACCAATAGATGTGCATTGATCCGTCGCTTTCAATCCTAGAATGTGGTCAATTGCTTTCTTTCTGCCGCATATAATATGCCAGCTTCATGCTTTGCCTTTATATTTTTTTTTATATATTTTGTTGTGATTAAATGATTCTATAATTAAATTTACTTGTAGTTATCACCAATTATCTAGACTTAGCATGCGTGACACATTGAATATTGAGAGAAAAAAATTAGTGGTTCTGAAGGTGATTTTTTAAAATTATATTTAATCATAAAATAAGTTTTTTATGGCTTGCTAAACAAATTAGTTGAAATTTTATCAAATCA